TGTTCTGATTTTGAAAAATTAAATTTTTATAGATCGATAGGTAAAACGGTTAAATATACTTTAATATGCTGAATATTTTTAAATAAGGGTATCAATAACTTAGATTATTTAAAAAAAAAAAAAATACATCTTTCGAAAATAAACCTTAATTTTGATGAACTAAAGTTTACCTTCGACAAATATATGTAGTCTCACCCTGTTTTATATACTATACAAAAATTATGAAAGCAAAGAAAGGATTGCAGTAAAAAAAAGGTTTCACTTATTTTTATAGTAATATTGACAAAAACATACATTTGATGATATTTTGAAATTATGTAATAGTGATTTTGGACATTCTGTAAATTAAAAATTGTTAAAATTACATCTTTGGAGGTATTTGATCAATAGGTCAAGTCCTACAACATATCAAAATTTCGTCAAATTCTGACCGAAGAATATTTTACATTTACTGTATCCCATTTTTTAAAGTTTCTAAATGATGTCATAATTTACATGACTGTTTATTTTTTAATAGTAATAGTATCTAGTATCGATGGCTTATCAAAATTTGTAGATTTTTATTTCAAAATGTCGTTACTAAATAAATTTGTAGTTTTTTTGTGTGCTAAGTCACCTCTAATTTTTTTTTTTTAATATCTGCATCCGTTTAAATTTGAAATAAGTACATTTTATTTCAATTACTTGTAAGCCGATCATCTTAACATAGCTTACTAATTCCATCTAAACTTACTTCAAACTACTTAGGACGGGTTGTACAAAAAATGCCGTAAACTCAGTTTAGCTAACAGAAGTTTAATTTTTAATTTAAATACAAATGTCATTTTTAAAACTACGTTTAACAATAACCAATGATTATACAGCGAGGTTCACAGTTTAAACTAAAATTACATTTTAACTGCCTATTGTACAACTCGCCCTTACAAACACTATTCCAAGAAGATTTGATGTAACAGGTAAGGCGTTCTTATTTTACTTATTCTATATTTAATTTATCTTTCAACATTACATTAAATGAAGCAATTGAGAAAAAAAAAATAAAAATATACAGAACAATTATTGTAGGGAAAAAGCTTTTAAAATATGTGCATGATATCATTAGCTTCGTATTTCATATTTTTTTTTTAATAATTAGTATACAGGGTGTTTCATAAGTTTATTTGGATAGCGGTAAACCAGATTTGACAATCCAAAATGTTAAAAACATTATTTTTTGTCTTCTAGAAAATTCAAAGTATACGTGGCTGTTTCTAGGTGAATCAGTCGCATATCCTTAAAACTCCAGGCTCTAATACCATAAATATTTACTAATTCGTTACTGGTTAGTGTGCATAAAAATGAAGCCATAAAAAAACAATAGAAATCGATTTTTCTGGTTTTTCGGCTTTTTACACTTCCAGCTTATTATTATTTGATAAAACTTCTAAGAATAAAGATCAGAAATTTTAATTATTAAAAAATAAGCGCTAGTTTTGTTATCCATTTTAAGTAAAAGCAATTTCATTCAGCCTACCCATTGGCATATACGTAAAAAATATTCACAAATAAAGTTTTTAATTGGAATAAACGTTTAAAATCGCTACAAAACACGTAAAACCTTAAATCAATCTTAAAACATACTGAATTCGTAAAAGGCCTAATTACGAAAATTAGTGTTACATCACTGTTAAAGCAAAAATGAATTCATCCATTGTGAATAATATATTTGGCAAAGAAAACTTGCAATAAGAAACTATAGTCTGAATTAAAGAGGAGTGCAGTAAAAGTGCGGTTATAATGTCACATTCCATGGGTGTACTTTGCAAAATAAGTTTCTATAATATATTAATTGGAACTTTTATAGCGGAATACGCTTTAACTAGCGGTAATGTTGGCAGTAAGTTCCTAAAATTTCCAATTTGTTTGAGATCAAAAAGTATTGCGCTGGAGTCCATCAATAAACTCGAAAATAATCACTCTACCAACCTGCTCAAATTCATAAATGAACTGGCAAAATTTACTCATATTAAACGCGTATTTCATGTCTCTGCGTACAAAACGCGTTTCTCATCAAATTACGCTTTTCTTATAAAATTTAGGCCACCAGAATTTAAAGTCAAAAAGTTGGACACTTTCTTAACCAAAAACATATTTGCATTGAATGATCCGAATGGATAAGTGCATTTTGGTACCAGAAAATATTTTTGTTAAGGAAAATCGAATTTTTCATGTGTTATCCCCAATATCATCTCGTAAATTTCCTGTTATTCTACATGGATATACTTTTCAACCTTTATGAAGGCTTTATGCAAAAATGGGGCTCCTAAATCTGCCACTATCAGACGGTCTAAATTAAAGTCGAATTAAACCTATTTTAGGACTTTACCCACCATCAAATCGACAAGAGTGACCTGGAAATTAAATTGAAAGAAAAATATTATGGAGCTACCTAATAGGTGAAAAAAGCAGGACATTTTATTTTGACAAATTGTTTAACAGTTTTCGAGTTGGAAAAAAATGATTTTCAATATGTAACTTCAAACGCTATACTTTTTGGTAAGCATTTTTGTGTTTATGAAATCTATTATTAAATCGTTCTGTCATGTGTTAAATTTTGACAGAACGTATAATAAATTAACTGTTAGTTCAGATTTCAAAGTTCAGACTTTCATATTCCGCCAATTTACGAAGACAGTTGGTGGCATAGAAAAGCTTTTTTATTACTAATTTTAGGAAAAAAAGTTGTTCCTTATAAAAAGTCGAGCATGGTCTAAAACCTAAAATACAACCATCAGATATCAAATTTTATCAGTCGCATAAAGAATAAAACTCATATTTTTTGACAAACCTCGTATACCACCGAAAAAAAATTTGATATTTGATGACTCTACTCTAGGTTTTAGATAATACAGAACTTTTTATGAAGAATAACTTTTTTTTCCTAAAATTAATAATAAAAAAGTTTTCCATCTGATTCCAACTTAGAGGGACATACTGTATATTTTAATTTTAGTTAAAAACGTATATTCAGAATTAACTTAATTTTAAACAAAATTGTTAAGTTGAAAATGGGAATAATTTTTTAAAATGATGACAATTTGAATGATTTGGTGATATTTCGATACCTCCTGTGAATTTAAATTCCTTTTTCTCGAGCCATCTCGTCTAAAATATATTTTTTTCTACTACCGTGCGTGAACTTTTTTTTAGCCACTAGTGCGTAAAGTAAAACTCTACACACTAGTGAAAAAAGTAAAATTTGACAAAAATTGTACATAACAACAAAATATAAACCAGCCGGCAAAAATCCATCGGTGCTTCCAATGTGGGTTAATATTAAACGATTTCCTTTTCCTGTTGGATTTTTTAATCCACAAGAGACCCTTTCTTTGCTTGTTTTTTTAGTTTCGATGGAGGTATCTTGCTAATTTTTTGTTACCTACTGTATGTCCAGTATTGCATGTTTCAGCTAAATAAAATACTTGTTTATGCTGATTCCTTGCGTCCGCTATTTTCCTCAAATAATCATGTATCCACGCAATGATTTCGTTTTTCTGTGTTAAAAACTATTTCTATCACGTTTTTTGTATTTAAAATTTAATTCATTCATTAATTCCGAATCAAAGTACATACTATACGACTATGAATAAATAAAGTCTGACTTATCTGTCAAAAGAAAAGTTTTATTACAGTAAAAACCATGGAAATAATAAATCTAAACGAAAACTTTTATTATGCCGATGAGATGTATTAAAATAAGCATTAAGGGATGAGGTATAAATAATATGTATATCTCTTAAAACTGTAATACGTTCTGCAAATTAAATTACTGCACTCCTTTTTCATTTAGACTGTAGTTATATTCATAACGAATTTAATGCTAAAACAATATACAGGGAGCTCCATTTAAAAAAAATGATCTTAAAATAAGTCATATCTAGGACATTTTTCAAAAACACTGTATAAAATGAACCAGTTCTAACATCACTTCGAGTTAACTTGGTATCTTAGAAGTTTGTATTTTAAACATTTTTGAAATCGTTGCCAATTTATACCTATATTATGATAATTTTATTTGAGATCCACATCATTCTCTAATTTTACAAAAAAACAATGAATTGGCAACTTCGTAATATTTTTAAAAAATATTTTAGAGTTGAATACAGTATTACTAGATCAAGCCAAAATTGAAATAAAATACAGGATGTTTTATTTAAACAATATACATTTTTATTTGCCAGTATATCAAATTAGCAATTACTTACTAATGGAACACCCGTTATATAGAAGAAAAAATAGAGGTTAGGTCTCAATTTATATTATTTTGAAGATTGTATTCATGTAAAAGCATACCATTACAAAAAAAAATTCGATTTTTCTTAACAGAAATATCTTCTTGATCCCAAAATGCACTTATCCATTCGGGTCATACAAGCCAATATGTTTTTCGTTCTAGTGACGACGTACATTTTCATTCATTCGATGGGCTTGCGTGGAAAAAGTTCTATTACTTAATCATTTAGTAAATACGGCTTGCGTGGTACTATGGACAACAAATACCTTTAATTTCTGTTAAGGAAAATCGAATTTTCCATGTGTTACCCTTAGGAGCTACTCGTAAATTTCCTTTCATTCTACTCAAAATCGAAGTAATTTTCCACCCTCTTTGAGGCTTGTCTGATGGTCTATAAGGTTTGTATAACTACAATGTTTTTTAATTTGTTTTCCACAATTTTCCTATTGGGCCTACTTTTATTTTTAAACAAACAATTTATGTGGTAGTGATTTAGAGTATTTTATTTTCGTTAAATATATATTAAAAAACTCAAAAAGTTTTATGTCAAAATCAATGATAAAATTGATTTGTTTTGTTTGGCTCACTGACGTCACACTAATGCAACACATCGATCCAATTGGGACAGAAAAATTTACTTAAATTATTATAAACAGTGTCTTATAATAATGTTCTATTAAATAATGGTTAATAATGACCCACTTGACCCCGACTGTACCCGTTTTAGGTGAAAACAAACCCATCTGGCAAGTGGCGGAAGAGCGCGAAGAGAACAAAGCCAAGAACAAAGAGAACGTACCTTACGGTGAGTACGGAGGATGGCATAAAGCGGCCAAAGTTGATTCGCCCACGGTTACCACCACCCTAAAAAATCTAGGAGCTTTATATAGGCGCCAGGGTAAATACGAAGCGGCCGAAACGTTGGAAGATTGCGCATTGCGTAGCCGAAAAGAAGTAAGTCAATAAATGTTTTGTTTAGGTTATATTTTACTGTGAAGATGTCGTGTAGGCGGAAATCCATTTTCCTTACTCGCGCGTTCTATGTCAAAAAAATAGTAAACGTTAGATATACTCGTATGTGTATTTGAATTACTGAAGCCTTTTACCTATGGTGCTTTATTTTTCTCCTCGTCTCCGACTACTTCTGAGTCCAGGCAAGCAATATAGTCGATGAAACTGCTCTTTTAGTTTGTGACAAACATTCTAAATTACCATATATAACAGTTAAAACTTAATATGCTATAAACTATAGTGAATACAATTATTTCTTTCTTCTTGGAGTTCTTTATCCACCCTCACCTTCAACTGATTTATGTTCTTGGCTGAGAACGTATGTTCCTGGAGACCATTCCACAGATATACAGTTCTGTTTGTAATTAATTTTTTCTTTGCAGTTTATTACACTTTTCTTTATCTAATTTCTTGGATGTGCTGGCCTGGAAGATTTTTTCACAGGTGTAATATCCGCTGGTTCACTTGTAAGTTTCTATCAAGTCTCCTCTAGTTCTTCTACACTTATTTATGTTGAGACCAGATTCCTATTTTATTGTATTATTTTGTGAGAACTTTCCAACAGCTTGCAGTAGATCTTTCTATCGTCTGCATAAAATTTGGCTTCGGACTCGATGATTTAAATAAATCAATGGTATATAAAATAAATAATAGGGAACCCAAGACCTAACCTTGTGTTACTCCACTTTCTACTGGATAGTTGTTTGAGAACTGTCCATTTGTTCTAACACAGAACTACCGGTTGAATCAGAAACTCTTAATCCACAATATCTATCAGCTTGTGGACTGGACAATATAATAATGTGAAACAGAAAATGGTTATTATAAATACTCCCGAGTGAGATAAGCAAATAAAAATGGCTGCACGTTGTTCTATTGGTACAGCAAGCACATTGGCATTCTATCCCACTTCAGTTCATTGGATACAGCCAATAAATGTTTAAGTTTATTGTTCTGATTTCTATATGCAGCATAATCTTCCTCAGCTCTTGTTGACCTGTATCTAGGTTCCACAGGTTCCGTTTTTTATTAATTTCTTTGAAGTTTGTTCGATTTATCCAGAATTTTTATTTATTACTTCTAATGAAACATTATTTATTACTTTCTGGAGTATGTTTGTTAAAGAACTATTAGCAGCATCTTGCAAATGTGCACTGTGTTGAGCTATCTTACTATTAATTAATGTATGTATTTGCGCTAGCACAACTGTATAATCAAAGTTCCGATCGACTTGCGGTTTTGATTTTCTTTGATAATTTCTTCTGAAAACTCTGTTTAAATATCAGTGTCTAAAATACAATACAATTCTTATGGAGTTCCTATATTGTTGTCATTCTTAAACGTCAAATAAATTTTCTAATTCGAATTTTTAATATTTGAACTCGATTACTTTGAGACGACAGATTCTTTTGCCCCAGCTCTCTGTCTAATCCGATATCTTTGATATTTCCACAACTGTACAGAGGTGTTTATTATATATTCGAAGTTTATATACAGGGTTGGTTACTTATACCATCTTAATTAATTTGTAGGCTTTGGACATCGTGAAACACTCCAGAAATCTCCTTACAGACGATAGACGAAAACCGGGTAGTGCGAAAGACAAAACGTCTCGTCGAGGATCTAGAGAATCCTTGGATATGACGTACGATGGAGACGAGGTGAGTTCCAATAAGTGTGTCTAATAAGCCCGAAAATAATTTCTTTAAAACAAAATAGAATTAAGTTATTAAATTATTATTGTAATAGATACTGTTCATTTTCATTATTAGTAGTAGTGTAGAGAATCTCATTTGTGTTTTTGAGAAAAAATGTGGCGTCTCAAAAGTACCACTCATTTTAAAAGAATGTGACGCTGTTTTTTAATTGTTTTGATATTGACGTTGTTTCTTTTTGCAAACGGACATTTTATGAAAGTATTATTAGATAATCTGGTAATATTCAAAAGTTGTATTGATAGTTTTAAGTTTTTGTGTGGATATGTGTAAGATTGTAATTGTGGTGGAGCTTAGAATATGGTAATTATCGTATATATAATATGTCAATTTGGAATTTCTTTCAGCTTATTAACCGACTTCAAAAAAGGAGGAGGTTCTCAATTCGTCGGTATATATTTTTTTTGTGTATGTTTAGCGATAATTCTTTAACAAGGTGTCCGATTTCGATGATTCTTTTCTCCTTACCCGCGTGAATTTTGGAATAGTCCCAGTAGATAACGTTCATCGGCGTTCCTGCGCTCCAGGTCGGCTGTGGTTCAATTTGAACATCATAATCAGCCTCTGGAAACAGATTTGGGCCAGTCCTGACTCTCCCACCTTTCAGGCTATATAGAGGCCATTTTTTGCCCCTTTCAGGCCATATAGAGGCCATTTTTGGCCCCTGGAGCCAATTCCAGACGTGGAGGGCCATTTCTGAGCCCAAGAGATTCAGCGTCTAAATATACATGGGAATACATATGTCCGACCAGCAAGTCTAAACACTTTTTTTTTGTGTTTACGGAAGTCTGAATCATTGTCTTCAAGTTTACGAAGTCGAATATCGAAAGAACGTGCATTGATAGATTAACTGGTGAGAGTATAGACAGCCCAAAACTTCCAGGTTCGACTCTGGTGCACTCATTTTTTCTTTCCTTTAATTCCCAGCTTTTTGCATTTTTCTTTGGTTTGTTTGGAATTTGGGGATATGAGGGTATAATTTTAATAATTTCGTAGGTGGAGTTGGGATTTTTCATTTTCATGTTTCCAAAATTGCAAATAAAAAAGATATTAACCTAGTATTTAAAAATAGATTTCTATTTTTAGTTTTACACTTGTTATTTGAAAATTAGATTGGGAAACAGTTTTAAGTTTAAAAATCAGAACAAACCGATACCACCATATTTCTAAGCTAATTTAATTGACTGACTAGGCTGTTTAAAGCAACCAACAGTATTTTTCGTAGGATAGGATATATCGTTGGCTTACTTTTTTATACAAACAGATTTAAAATATTATTATTTAACATTCTGCAACGACTAAGAAGGTTTCAATATCGTTCAATAGATGTCGCTACAGTCAAATTAAAACTTAGAAGCTTTTGCAGGATGTTTAATATTAATATTTGTATCAAAACCTTGTAAACAGTAAAAAACGGACTTAGGAGGTTTTGAAAGTAAGCTGATGATATATGAACGTAACAAATTATTATTGGAAGTGTCAAAATTAAAAAAAAGTTTGTAAAAGAAACAACGTCATTTTATATTAAACAATTCTAAAATTTACCTGATAGAAGCTTTAATTTTATTCAAATTTTTTATTTCTACAATGTTTTGTTTTTATTCTTTATAATTTTAATATTTTGATAGTTTTAATCTAAATGAAAAATCACTATATGTAAATAAATAAAAAAAAAAAATATTTTTACTAATTCTGAAGTAATTGCTTACTTACTTACTATTTAAAATAAATGCTTACCATACTAATATAAATGGGTGATCGTTGTTATATACTGCTAACTAAACAAGCTTGCTTTTGCTTTTAATTAAAGGTTCACAGTTATAATCAAATTGCAATAAGAATATTAAAATATAAGTAGTATTTAGATTCGTTTTAACCAATAAGGAATATTTAATTTTTAATAATATACCCTTGAACTAGGTGTAGTCAGTATATCTTAAAATAATATTTTTCTATACCCAATTTGAAAAAATGAAAACAATTTCCGTACTTAAAATCCATTCAACCAAAGCATAAATGGTTCTTAGTGATATTTTTTGTTTTATTTTGCGTTGTTTTTTTATTTATTTTATTTTTACTTTCTTCTAACTGTGATATATATTTATTTCCAATATTTTAACGAAGAAAAAGATGTGAGATGAGTTTTGACGTAACTTTTTTTTTAAATGAATAAAATATAGAGAACAAGTAACGAAAAAAAAAAAAAAAAAATTTAAATAAATCGTTAGATGGAATTCCAAAACTCTACTGTTTAAATATTTGCTATGTTATCATAGAGCCCGTTTGTTAATAAGTAATTCCAGGTACGGATTCACTTTATTAAAATATTTGTCGATTTAATATTAATAAATTTCTGTGTATATTGAGGTCAGATTCGGAAAAAAACAGAGACGATTGTAGATTTCCAGATAAAAGAAAATTAACACCAAATTCACATCTAAGTCTATGTATAATTTTTGTTGCTGCCATAACTGTAACAAAAAAAATGTTCCGTAATGATGGATGGGGTTTTCGTCACCTGTAAGTCAAATGACACCACAGCAAATAATAATAATAACCGTTCCTTCCCCGCATAAGCCCAGTCGGCTTTTGGGGTAAAAATTCCCTTATAAGGGGGTGAATTATTATTAATTATTGACATTTCTTGTACCAATAATTGAAACTGGAACTAAAAATCTTTTAGATCTTATAGTCGAGGCATTGAAGCAAAATGCATTAAAAAAAATTCATTTCTTGAGACGGCTTTTAGAAAATTAAAGAACTTTGTAAATAAGAGTCAGAACTGGCTCAAATCGGGTTCCCGGGGGTTTCGAGGTCGCGGATCACGATTATGATGTTCAAATTGAACCACAACCGACCTGGAGTCCAAAAACGCCGATGGACTTCATCTCAGTGGGACTCTCCCGAAATATACGCGGGGAAGGAAAGAAACCTGGCGCCCCAGGGTTTTTTGGATCGTTGAATTCAAATATGGCATCAGCGGACACCTGGTGTACCGAAACCTGGACGTGGACATCGTCTCTGAGAATTTTCCCGACAAGATCGCCAAAAACAACCCGAAAATCATTGTAAAGGCGTTTTTTGGGTCGCTGAATCCAAATTTTACGTAGAAAACGACCCCCTGAACACTTGGTGCACCGGAACCTAAACGCGGACCTCTTCTCCGTCAGTTTTCCTCACACAATCAAAAAAGACGAACTCATAATCGTTATGGGGTTTTTTTTGGGGCGCTGAATCCGAATTTCACGGTCGAAAGCGACCCTCCCAACACCTGGTGCACCGGAACCTCGAACTGAACGTCGTGTCCGAGGGGTTTCCAGGCACGATCACAAAAGACCGAAAATCATCTCATAATTTCACTCATTCATTGATGTATAACTCTCACCTGGAGCCCTCGAAAAACTTAATACAGTCCTGTAAAATTCTAAATGCTGGGTTTGAATATTGATTTTCTATTCATTCGAGTTCTTTTTTCCTCCTCACATAAATTAACTAGAATCAACAATTCCACATAGCTATTGCAATACTAACGTCCGTCTCTAAAACATCAGGCTTGGTTGACATTCATGGGAACGACATCGATGTCAAGATAAAGGTTCTGGTGCACCGGGTGTTAGGAGGGTCGTTTTCGACGTGAAATTCGGAGTCAGCGCCCCAAAAAAACCCCCATAACGATTTTGGGTTCGTCTTCTTCGATTTTGTAAGAAAAACCCTCGAAGACGACGTTCAGGCCCAGATTCCGGTGCACTAGGTGTTCGGGGTATCGTTTTCAAAGTAAAATTTGGATTAATCGCCCCAAAAAACGCACCCACAATAATTTTCGGGTTGGTTTTGGTGATCTTATCAGGAAAATTCTCGGGGATGACGTTCACGTCCCGATCCGGGCGCACCAGGTGGCAGGGGGGTGTTCGCCGATGCTACATTTGAATTCAGCACCTCAAAAAAAACCCATAACGATTTTCGGTTGTGTGAGGAAAACTCACGGATATGAGGTCCGCGTCCAGATTCCGACGCACCAGGTGTTCAGGGGGTCGTTTTCGACATTAAATTTTATTCAGCGTCCCAACAAACGCCTAATAAACACTGTCGCCTTGTAAATATCCAGGGTCGGTTTAAGTAGTAAATAGTTTCAATGCAGTAACACTTGTATGTTAGAATAATTATCGAATAGTTGTTCACTTTATCGTACTCCTAGAGCCAATCTGCAGACTTGTGACGTATGTTCTTATGGGTGAATTCGATTGTTTAAATAATAAACACGGAAATCGTTTCTGTCAGTTGTCAACCGTTTTCATAATACCTACTAATAATAATAATAATAATAATAATAATAATAATGGGTGCGTTCACCAGTCGTCAGCAGTTAACTTTAAGCGCTAAACGACTGGACATTAACATCCGGCAGCAGATGGAAATTGGCTGAACGTTCCGTTGACCGTTGGGTCTCTGTCTGTCACAAAACTGTCAGATTAGACTGTTGAACGTAACCTTATAATTATTGGCTGATGCTGATCCTCGTCAGAAAACACCAAACTGTAGGTTGACAAATTTTCTGTATTAGTTTCCATAATATGTACGTTTTAAAAATCAAGAAAGCACGCGCAACAATGAACTGCCATCTCACTGCGCATGTCTAAACATATGTTGAGTCGGCTCACCGCAAATACATCGCGCTGGGAGAAATTTGCAGCAGATGACATTCAGCGTAAAGTCATCGTGTCTGCCGAACTACTCAATTGTTGCCGTCTGGTGAACCCACCCAATAATAATAATAATAATAATAATAATAGTAATAGTTTATTTAAATGTTTTGGAAAAAAGTTACTGACGCAGTTGCTAAGTGCCGTAGATGCATAGTTAAGCCAAAATTTGGTTTCTAGGCATGTCATATAGTATCTATACTGTTCTTAATTGAAACGGACTTTATTAATACTAACCTAAAAGACTCATTTGATACATCAGTAAACCAATAACGTCAAACGTCATCTCACGTCATTAGAAATTCATTCGATTAAATAATTTAAAATTTCGTTGGTATCTTCTTTACTTAGTCCCTAGTAGTTCGTAGTTTTTCCCCTTCATTGTTTTAACAAAGTGATCTAACATTTTGTGGTCGAAGATCTGAAATTAGGTCCCGATTCTTGATGTTATTTTGAAATGTTTCGTATTAGGTGGTACATAAACCGATCATTATACGATTAATGAAAATGAATAGTGTTTTTTTTTGTACTCTCCATTAAGGAAAAAAGTATTAAATCGCATTTGAGAATGTTATTTATCGAATTTTGTTAGCGTTAATTATTTTTTTTATTGTTACATTTTTTTTATACAAAATTGTGGCTAGGTACACACGACTTATTATATAAGGTGAGATTTGTATTAGCACAATACGATTAATCAAATTAATTCTTCACTATATGCTTTATGTATCAGCTTATATGTAGCACTTCTTGTAGTATTGATGCCTGATTTTTCAAATACACCCCTGGTTTGTTGTTATAAAATTAAGAAACTCAATGGAATTGTAATACTGTGGCTTCTAATAAATAAATACAGGTGAAGCAGTGTTTGTACATTTTTCTATTTTTTTTCTCTCTCTCTTAACCTGCATTAAGTCAGAAATGTCATCAAAAATTCGCTAACCAGGATAATTATTTTGGAAATACAAAAATCTTCGGTGTCTTTCAAAATAGCATCAAGAAAAGTATATAGTGGTATATTTTTACTAAAAATTAAATGAACATTGCATTCCTGGTTAGAAATCAAAATTTATCTTGTCAATATTCTTGTAGCCTAATTTACAAATCTTAAATTTACCCACATGTAAATCATTATAAAGATATATACGTCATTATAATGAATGTAAATAGAGTTGGACGATGTTTAGAGAACTGTTATTTATTTTATTATTGGTAAACTTGCATGTTTTTCTATAGATTTAATAAATGTTTTCCAAGAAATATTTAATTTATTAATGATTTGAGGAAACATAACCTCATTTGGTTGAATTTTATCAATCACGATAACAATTCAAAATAACGTCATTATCCAACTCTATTTTTCTCGAAATACGTCATATTAGTATGCCGCAAAATTGATTCCAGTGACAGTTAACTTCTAACCTCACTTTTGATAAAAACATCAAATTTAACATATACGTTTTTTAAGTTTTTTTTTCTTAATATTGTTTGCATGCCATAAAAAATAGTTTAAAGGTATATACTTTAGGAATATATTTTAAAAAAAGTACAAAACTATATAAGTTAGATAAACGAAACGAACCTAAAAAGTCTACTGTCACTGTAATCATCACTAATTTAGCGTATTGACGATTCTGTCTTTAAGGATGTACACCTGGGTAACTATTTAAAATCCTTTGTTGAAATCATTCAATAATTTAACTTTAAAGTCATACGATGCAAAATTAAAAAGATTTTCATATCAATGTTTTAAAAAATAAGTGAAAGTCTCATTAAAATCACTTTTGTTCAAACTCTGAAGATGGAAAAAAATAGTCTTAAATAATTCAGGTAAGTAACCAATTTATTTTTAGTTATGTATATTTGATTTACCCCCTTTTGATTGGTCTCTTTAATAATTGAAATATTACAAGGAAGGTACCAATTTTTGTAAGAGTGCTTACTTATTCTGTTTATTAACATTTTTTGCAAATTGCGTAGTCAACATACTACCCTGTATACAGTGTTATTGAAGTACATGTAGATATTAAAGCAGATTCGTAGAATATGCAAAAAATTGGGGATTTTTAGATTCTAAATATATTGTATTAATCTGCCAAAATAACAAATAAATTGTATATTATGTCACTGAAGTTAGTATAGGTCATGAACAAAAATTAGGTCACTTAAAAGTCATCGACTCTGAATACCCTGCTTAGCTAATCTGTCAATATAACAATTAGGCATTCCAACGACCTGTCAAACAATAGGTGCCAGTGGGAAATTCTTGTATATTCAAGGGGGTAGCGACATAGTCTTGCAACTTGGACGCTATTTTTATTCGAAGTAGTACTCGCCAAGCCTGCCAATTTATGAAGAAATGTATAGGTGGGTTTTTTAAATATTATTTTTGTTGTGTTTGACATAAAATATTTAAATGTAATCCATTATTCATGATTTTACGTAAAGTAGATAGAATACACTATATGTCGCCACCCTTAGATATACCAAACCTGCCCACTGGTAATTCATTTGTTTGGAATGCCTAATTGGATAATACTACGTCTTGTCAATAAAACCCAATACAGCCAACGATTGAGAAACAACACAAATATATTTATGTCAAACGAAGCTTGTTAACCTAACTTTTTCTTTAGAAAAAAATGAAAGATTTTCGTATGGTGTTTTGAACTCCAAAACCTGCTACCAAATCCATTAAATTCTTGGCCACGTGTAAGAGTCATGTATGCTGAAGTGTAATAGAGCACCAGTTAACATAGAGTTTTCAAAGCGGACTCCTGGACCAAAAGAGATTATTAAGTGCACGTCTTTCCCGTTTGACTTTTTCATAGGAAAAAAAGGCCAGTAGAGCAATTATTCACATCTGTTGATATTTTTTACTTATTGATGTTTTGATGATGGTTTAACCACCGAAAGTGCTTGAATTAATTTACTATACTTATGGGACTTTTCATGAAAAGTTATTTTTTAACTAGTTTGGCGAACATGTCCGGAAAAGTAGTGAAAAACAGTCGACCTTGGCCTCCCTCTTTATGACTAGGTCAAGCGGTGGGAAATTTAAAATTATTTCCATAGAGACTGTTGGTGTACTTTTCGGTGCTTCTGTAATACAAAGGCATGTCAGCATCTGAACTCCTGAGATGAAATTGAGAGCTCTTTTCTGGTTTACTTTTGGCCACCAAACAACCATTCCATAAGTTATCATGGTTCTTATTATTGCCAGTGGACCATTTTCGGATTTAATCCACATGTTTTTACAAATGCCTGTCTTCCTACAATGAGAGACATTTTACATTTGTTGGTCATTTTTTGTGTCGTTTGTTCCAAGTAAGTTTGCTATCTAGGATTCTAGTTTTCAAGACCTTTAACTTTGTTTTCTGAGTAAAGGTTATAAGTTTTGTGCTTTGTCAGTTTTTACAAAGAGGTTTTCCTTAACACACCACATTTCTGCAGGTCTGAGTTCGAATAACGAAGACTGTGGTTTGGTGTTTCTCTCGGATAAGGATGACTATGTATCCTTGGGTGTACGCTGTACCTTGATTGTTCAGTGTTCTCATCAGATCATCTGCCATTAGGTTCCACAGTAGAGGAAAAAGGACTCCACCCTAAGTGCATCCTCTGTAGATATTCACCTGCACAGATGGTGTATTCTGTTCCATGTTTGTGAGCGGTAGCTACCATTGATTTAAAGTAGGTATATCAAAGGCCCCTTCTATGTCAAAAATTGTTCCTAAGACTATTTCTTCGCTACTGATTCCCCCCTCTATCTTGGTTACAAGATGATGCAGAGCAGACTCACAAGGTTTTCTTGATTGATAGGCATGTTAGCGACCCATCACTAATTTACTAAATAAACTAGTGGTATTGTATTAATACAATTTCTTCTCTGCGCAGTATATACACACCAAATACCCCCTCGAAGAATTTTTTATTAGTGTTTGATTGTTTTTATTGTAAATCCCGGCAAATGTGTGAGTCTTAATTGCTAATGTGTTGATTATTGATTTAAAAATATAAAAGATCTTAACGTTATTTAATGAATTTGTAGTGTTTGTCAATCGTCTACCATTTTAAGACATGTATTTGTGATTGCCTCATAATAGGAAAATGGCGATCAAACATTACCACGAAATTTTCAAAATCCTCCAACTGGGTTTGACGTTTACCACCTCTTTACCTACCAAAAGCTTTTCCAACCTCTATCCTTGGCTAGTTTAGATGTGAAATTGAATCGTAGAATAAACTCTCCCAATTTTTTAATTTTAAGATTAATGGTAAAATTGGTGCCATTCGTTTTTATATGTACATGTAATTCAATAACACCTATTGATTAAATTTCACATCGCTTCTCCGGAAGAACAATGACGCAAGTGCATGTTTTACTTATAAAGCTTATAAATCTTCAATTATTTCAAAAATAATAAAATAAAGTAGTTCTATCTAAAACTAAAATAAATTTGCTATCTCGAAATCCCCATCGATTATTTCCAAACTTTTTCTTAACGTCTTAGTTTTTTTTAATTTGCTATTTTTGTGGAATCATTAATTTTCACTTGCGTCATTGTTCTTCTGGAGAAGCGACATGTTTGTAATATTGACATGAGTTACTAAAACATGTATAATCACAGTGTTAGGTTGTGATAATATTTTTAATCTAGTTTGGAAACGTTTTAAACACTAAACAACTACTTCCAAAACTGTATATCCTTTCGGATATTGACAATTATTCTAGATCATATTTATTAAGAATTAGTCTTTATTGGCCATCTTAACGCTTCTAGCTTTTTTTGTAAACCTTTAAATCAAGGTTTGTTGGGCATGTTTTCAATATCTATCAAACTGGAAACTTTTTATTAATAAATTCTAAAACTACTATAACAGGAGTATTAAAATTTCACTTAGATACTCTCAAGAATTATTGTGTTATTCTGCTTCTGTTGTGAAAAACTGCTACAAATATGCATTGTGCCTTTAAGCCTTTCTTCATGCGAAGTATAAGCATATTTTTTTCTAAATTAATAAAATGTTGCTTACGTTACAAACTTCTCAGCTTTAATTAGGACGTTTTTAAATATCTAATCCATTTAGAAACTTGTTAGAAATAAAATTAGTTTAAAATTGGATAGAGTTGATACATTGTTAGTGATGAATTTTTTTCGCAGACCACCACAGCCAAGACCCCAGACACCGAAAAAAGTGGCCTAAAAACAAAATTATTCAGCGCGCTAGGAATTCATTCACCAGTGAGCAAACCCAGCTCGTAGTTCTCTTTTAATTTAATCAAATTTACGTTTATTATGAATTTTTTTTTTTTTTTGTAAATGTTGAGCTTTTGAATTTTGGAGTCTCAATAATATTTACTAAAACAAATAACATTCCATCTTAAATTGACAAAAGAAACGTCGCTGCAACTAGCGACAATGAACTTTCAGCAGGATTCCCGAAGCTTTAGTGCAATAACACTTAAAAAGATTTATAACAATATTTACAAAGTGCTGTCATTGTTTAATAATAATAATAATAATAAAAAAAAAGACAGTTGGTCAATGCGATAGAACAAGATTGACGAAAATGGAGTTGAATAATATGTTTTAAAAGTAAAAATATTTTCCCTACTTTGGTACCATGTCTATTAGTACCGGGTGGCTTGATAATAGCTTTAGATTATATCTTAATGACCGTTTAGTCTCGGGGAACAAATTTCAACTAAAGTGACCATGAGAAAAACCGGAATTTATATATTTTTTAAGTTGTCTTCTAATTTCCAGAAAATTGTATATAATTTAACGTAGGATAATTTTCTTCTATTTGTCATACAAGAGAGGGGGCTGATTTGAATAAACGCTTGTAACTCCAGTTCTGATTATTAGAATTTTATAAACTTGGCCTTTATAAACAGCTCTTCTCCTCCAATGTATTATTTATAAATTCGAATCAGTATAATAAGTAACGTGAATGCTAGAGGGCGCTGTTTATAATTTTATAGAAATCTAGTTTTCTCTCGAAAAAATTAAATGGAATCATAATTTTCACCATGGATTACAGGAGTAGACTAAATTACCATCATACGATTTTTTAAATAAATAAATAAGTTTTCTTGTGTATCTTTAGTAGTTAAAATTGTTTCCCAGAAGTTGTACTATAAATAGTTCCCGATATATGATTCAAAGCCATTCTTATTGGGCCACAGAGTACATATTGGATATAAACATTTTGCCTTTTGTGTTCTGTCATATCTTAAGAGTTCTCGACATTGTAGAGCTACCTCAGACGGATTTTTTCGATGTATCTATCAATTATTCCTTCTCTGTGCTTCTATTGCAGTCTCAAACGTTTAAGTCTTTAAGTGAGTCCTTAAACACCATTTTAAAATAGGGAACTTACCTTATTTTTCTCTGGAATCTGTCATTCGATTTATATACTTTCGGATCGTAGATTCTTTACTTACTGTACATTCCCGATAATGCAGTAGTCTACAGTATTTGTAGCAAAATTCTCTATGAATAATCGTTTAAAATTTTAAAATGTTTATTTATTGTGTAATTGTTTGAAGTTTTAATGAACTGATTTAAATTCTATATTTCTTCATCTTCGTCAAAACTTTTTTTAAGAGTTCTCGAAATTCTAGTGTTATCTCAGACGGATTTTTTCTACATATCTATCTATTGTTCCTTCTCTATAATTCTATTACAGTCGCAAGGGTTTAACTTCTTAAGTGAGTCCTTAAACACCGTTTTAAAATAGGGAACTTACCTTATTTTTCTGCAATCTGTGATTCAATTGATATACTTTGATATCCAGTATCTATTAATTCCCTAACTATTTAAATTTCGTATTTCCTAGTGAGTGAGATCAGATCGCAGATACTTTACTCACTGTACATTCCCAATAATGCAGTAGTCTACTATATTTGTACCAAAGGCATATTCTCTATGAATAGCTGTCCAAAATTTTAAAATATTTATTGTGTGATTGTTTGAATTTTTAATAAACACATTTAAATTATATTTTTCTTCATCTTCGTCAAACTTTTTTTATTGATTATTCTATATTATTAAACAATGCTGTTTAAATGTTAATTCTTCTTGTTCCATTTTAGATATTTTTATTTTAAGATAGTTTGTTAATTTTACGATTTCTACCATTATATCGTCACCTTCAAACGTTTTAGAAATTTGATCTTCTCTCAAAAAATATTAAATCTGCTTTATAGTTTACATTGTAGTTTCAAAAAGCCAGATTGTTAACTATTTTCAATAAATTAATATCTCAAACTTTAATATAAAGTTGTATAACTTGTTGATGTGACGATATTGTCAATTATTATACTAAAAGGGAACAAGGGAATTATTTTAATATAATTTTTGCGAAGAGTCGAACAAATTTTTGTTTACTATAAAATACAAGAACTGTTCATATTTTTATTTATTAGCCTTTTAGGAAAAGCGTATGCTTAATTTTTACTGTTAGTATTAAGTCTTTTGAAGGTGATCAATACTAGCATTATCTACTGGCTTTTAATAAATATAAATTTCAATAAAAATGTTTCTTTAAACGTATTTTTATTTATTGAGGAAAGTTATCTAAAACTTTCTTGGTTAGGAACGTGTTGGTGTTTCGAAACCTTGATTAGGAAAAGGTAAGTAAAAGTGTTGTGTTTCAGTATAAAGTAAAAAATATTTATTTCAAATGTGTGTAGGTACGTTATAATTTGTATCTATGATTTGTTCGATTTTATTGATAGTTTAAATGTAGCAAAATAAAATTTATTTTAATTTAAAAGGTTAGGAACCCTGATGCTTTTATCGTGTATTAATAGGAACTTTAAGTTTTAGTAATAACATCGATTCTGGGCGGCAAAAAGCTAAACAAACTTTTTTTTACATTTAAACTATCAATTTTATAATACTAGTACAATGCAAATTATTTGTATACAGAGTGAATCATTATAACAATATTGTCCATATAGTAACTGGACAAATCCGTAAATATACATAACAGTTACAGATTTGCTAATATCCATCTCTAAATTCCAATCTAACACCAGAACAACCTAGAACGTTAGAGACGATGTAACCGACTTCGATTTTAGTTCAAGGACGACTTAGCCAAGTCCGACTCAGCTGAGTTTTGTTTATAAATACGGGCCTAAGTCTCTACCCCTACCGCCTACGCCTCTGGTAATGGCAAGAAACTATGGGTGCGTTAAGTGAGCAGGTCAAAAACATCTAGCAAAAAAAAATAACCAATATGACCAGACATGATAATCATCTGATGGGTCAGGGTCAGTTAGAACGGTCGATAAATTGTGTCTAACTCTGTTAGTTAAAACTGTCTAGTCAATAGTCATCAGAGGCGCATATACAGCAGGGGTAATGGGAGTAATTACAAATAACGGGGAAAATCTTCACCGTCTTCTTCAACCGATTAAGAAGTCTGTATGTTTTTTTTTAACAATTATCTATTAAAGTTGATTTTTCACACTATATTTCGAAATAAATTAATATATATCAAGAAACGATAACAAACAAAAGAATGCTCTGGGCGGAGCTCGAACCCGCTACCTCTGGATATCCGTTCCAACGTCCTAACTCCTAGACCCCAGAGCTTGTGTACCTGGCGTTGTAGTAGTTAATTTGAATACTTAGATTTTATCCCAACTTAGTTTATCAGAATTTTATTCAATTTTTCAACAGGGCCGCCGAGAGGCAGGTCGGGCTCCGCTCTTTCAATATCACATTTCTAAAAGAAAGTTCTTCTGGTAAAAACTTCTCCTCTTCCACAGTGAAACTTCTAAAAACAAGGGCTTCAAGCAAAAACTTCTCCTCTTTAGTGAACTCTATAAAAAAAACGTCACCTACAGCTGCCGGTCTCCCTTATGCCGCTGCCGGGCCTCTACTTCAGCTCAGACCCCGGGAATTTGTCCCGGCTACTCCCCCTCTCGTCGGCCCTGTTCTTCAACCCTTAAAGTCACCTTATTTTCGTCCAGGTGTTTCCAGACTAAACTGCCTAATATGACACAGGAGCAAACTACTATTACAGACAAAAATGAGACTCGTACAGGCAGTCATAATACCCATCCTCATGTACGCCTTGACGGCATGGGGATACACCTGCAAAACAAACAGGAAGAAAATCCAGAGCCAGCAGAACATCAGCTTGAGATGGGCCTCAAATGCCTACAGATACACGAGAAACGACGTAATCAGAAGGGATCTAGAATCCAAAAGGGTTCTAGACCTCATCCACAAGAAGGCCACTGACACCTTCGAAAAACGAAGGACACACCCGAACATGGAATTAAGAGAAATAAAATATGAGAGAGCGGACTACAGGAGACACTCCAGACCACGCAAAGTGCTGGATTATGGCGGCGAGTGACCAAAACCGTAGAGGGACAAAATTTAAGACGCTCATGTATTTTAAGGATTCTCTTTCAGAATACTACAGAACGCAACACGCGATTCAGACAAGGACTGAGTAACTGACGACTAATCACCTGGGGAGAAGGTTCTTCCAGTCGCAAAGTAGGAGACTGGGGGAGCTTTTACAGGTGGCGACTTTCATAGAACGTGCAGACACAAGATAAACAAACGAACGACGAAACAGGGAAATGCGCTCAGCAAACCCTGTCTAAATGCTGATATGTCATTCTTCACAGTCCTTTAAGGAGGAATGGCATACTAATAGGATTGAAATTTGAGACCTCCTGTAACGAAGACGTCAGGGGGGACGGTGGTGTCAGGAGGGTTTCGATCCAGTTTAACAGGATGGGAACCTTCCCGACTTGGGCGCAATTACTGTGTGTGTCCAGGTGTTATAGCAGGGGCAGAAGTTGTAAACACCTTTTTCAGTTCTCCCACTTTATACACATAAATTGACAGGTTTGCGGCGGAACTAACCGAAATGGACGCAATACATTAGCGTACAAAATTATTTTATAGATGTTAATAACAATTTCGAGTAAATAGTTTAATAAATCGTGAATAGTTGTTGAAATTTTGTAGAATTATGATTTGGATATTATAATACATGTTTAATAAATAGTCCATAAATACATGCGATAGTCCGATTCTCAATTAGGGATGTTGCAATACCAGCAAAGTATCGATACTGGTATCGGAACCAAAGTATCGATACCGATATCGGGAAGAATATAGAACTAAAAAAAAAACAGTCAGGACCACTGATCTGTATTATTTTACTGGATAGGATATAGGCTATATTTAACATACTAAAAAACCGTTCCACCAAGGAGACCGGAAGTGCAACAATGCTGGCCGATTTGGGCAAATTATGGTGGGTTCACAGAACTGAAATTTGGGATAATTTGACATACCTAACCTATAATTTGATTAGTTTTCTTATTCTTCTTCTATTCCTTTTGCGGGCGATGTCCTTCGGGAAAATTCACCCATGATTTGATTTTTTATGAAAGAAAATATAAAAATGGAAACGTGAAGCATATTGTGTCTTCAGGAATGAACGTTTATTGTTTATTTCATACTCTTTTTACTTTGTTTTTCACAATAAAAACATCTCATCGTAGCTTGTTGACACAATTAAATGACAAATGGAAATAGAGGTTATGTTAAATAACATCCGGTCCGCCATATTATTTGCCCAAATCGGCCAATTTTTCGGAACATTTTTTAGGGGGCTATATCCTATCCAGTAAAATAATGCAGATCAGTGGTCAGGACATAATATACCATAAAGTGATCCTACAATACACGTTTTGTATGTATTGTAATGTCAAAAATAATAAAATATTGAAACGAAAGTAGTAGTATCGATATGGGTAAAGTATCGAGCACTAAATTACCCGGTATCGAAAGAAATGTATCGATACCACCAGTATCATATCAGTAGTATCGCATTATCCCTAGTAACAATTTAAAATCACTTATTCTATGAAACGACTTTGGCAGGTAAACATTACTGCGAAATTCTCGAAGCCGTCCGACGTGGTTTGACGTTTACCCCCTCTCAACCTACCAAAAGCCTTTTCAACTTGTGCCCCTGCTATACGCCGTTAAAGCAATGTAATTGAAAATGTGTCCATATGAACTGTCCAAATAAATATTAGTTAGTGGGCAAAAATCAGTCATATTTTGGGCCAAGGATTTCCAATTACTATATGGACAATTATTAATGAAAAACCCTGTAAATTTCATATATTTCTTTATACAAAAAATATAAATAGAATACTGTTTCTCCGTTGATCGAATAGTTATATAAAAAATATACTAATCACAAATATAATGGACGATGCCTTAGTTTTTAAAATAAACTATTTGTAGTACCTCTACATTAGTTGACAGTTTCAATAAAATATCAATTTTCTATAATTTGTGAAAAATACAATTACTTTTTGTCCAACTGCAAAAAGATGACGTATAAAAAATTAAACATGAAAGTGTCACTAGCACTTTCTGAGTTCGTAATCCATCTTAAACGAGTCGTTAAGTTATCAGACATCTGTAGAACTGAAGTAATTCTTTGACAGCTCAAACTTCAGGACGACTATATAAAGATTATGACGTTTCCATGGTTGCGAAAGTCAAAATAACGTATATCCGAATTTTTTTTACTAAACAATCAAGAACGAACAACTATAGACGAATCCTTTCATTCATAAATAAGCATTTGTTTATTTGTAAGTACTCAATTCGTGTTCTATAGACAGACAGATAGAGCTGTCCCCTCGATTGCCGCAATAAAAAAGCCTTGCCGTCCACTAAATTGAGTGCGATGTGTATGCGAGCACGCCTTTTATGACTTACGAATATCACTTACTTTACACTGTTGTCATACGGCAAAATTAATTTTCCTCGAAATCACCTTTAACTACAATAGTTAAATTGATAATAACTGGCACGAATAATGTAAATATACTTAAGGTTTATATTACCCTACAAAAGTTACGTTACGCTAAAGCGAGATGGAGCCACCATAGTGGCCAAAATTAGCTGTAATCAATATAGTTTTCTGTAGCTACAAATATTGCTAATTAGAGTTGAAACGTGAAACAACAGAGGGAAGCAGAACAATTGCCGCGTTTGAGAATCCATATCGGATGCATCTGAGATGTAGTAAATCTTTGATCACGTGATTCAGTATACGTAAATGTAATGGGACAGATGTGTCCGATGTGGATAAAAAAACGCTCGAGATGTAAAAAATGCATCCGATGTGGATTCTCAAACGCAGTAATTGTTCTACCCTTTCTACTTCTTTGCTATTGGCATAAAAATTCGTTCTACTCCAGTGGCGTGACCCTGTCATTACTAAGCGACGTAGGTAAACAATACATAATTTGGTTTCTGCGACTGTCATTATTGCAACTTCAGCTGGGTTCTTCTCTCGTGAAACGGAGTCAAGACTATCACATAATAATTTGGCAACTATTTAAATGCTTGCAATTATCCTTTTGTAAATAAAACTGATCTAGCAACTGTTCGTCGTTGACTACAATAAATCGCAATGCAACAAATGTTTACTTATTGGCAATATTTATACAGTTGGACAAAAAAATATTGTTTGCATTTCGAGGCATTCGATTGAATTGACAATCTGATATGCCATCAAGAAAAACGCAAGTTTCGCTCACTTAATACAAGAATAACTATTACGTCAGATTACCACTAGAAGAATCCTTATGAAAAATTTCTCACATGCAAACAAACCAATTTTTGTGAGAATTGCAAATCATGACGTCATTAATGTCATTATTTTTGACGTTTTATTACACTAAATATACATATATTTAAAATGTCGTAAATAAAGGTTTATAACCTCACAAAAATTGGCTTACTTTTAAGGTTCTATCACAAATAAATTTTAGAATATCACATTCATTATTCTGCAACTTGTTAAAGCATCCCTACATTTTTATATTCGATTATTCTTTATGTATAATAGGTTTACAATAAGAGGTACCAAAAAATGATATACTGATTTAAATAATACAAATATTAAGGAAATCTGGCAAACATAATTAAACAGATTCATCGGCATCCATTAAAGGCATAGCATCTTCTTCATCCGATGTGAATTTCTTTTCTGAACGTCCTGAAAAAATAAGCAATATCCTGGAAGTTGAAGTCACTGCGAAGAATATCTACAGGTGCCATGGTATCAATATTTTATTCTACAGGGGGTTAGTAGTCAGTGCCATTTTTTTTTCTCAGCCTGATGCATGTGCTCTGTGCGTAGACATACAAGGACAGCAATTAGTTTGAACAATGCTCCTTTAGTATCATTTCGGGATATTTTCTTGCGTTTCAAGTTTGACAGCTTTCACTTTTATACACAATTCGTTTCTGACGTATGATATATTTGACAGCTATAATACGAATATCTGTCAAAACTGTCAACTTTTTGATACAATAAAAATATGTAATCGTTTTAGTAAAGCTGTTTAGGCATTTATACAAGGATTAGGTTAAAATAAGCTCTATTTTAATACAATACTTTAATCTAACTGTACAATATTAACAAATGAGACTACAGAACGTATTCGTATAAACATTTTGGCAATTTACAGCACTTTGCTCTTTTTATATTTTAAGACGTTACAAAGTGGCAGTATATATAAAATACTAACAATAAATTATATTCAATTAACGTTATGTTATCTAAGTTATAGTAAAATTTCTTAAATATATGTTCAGTTTATTTTTAAATCCAGGATTTCCATGGAAATTTGACATATTTCACTGTGTATTTAAAAAATGTGTTCCAACATAATCGAGTTCCCAGTTGAGTCCAAATCCCCGACCAGTCCCTGACAGGTTGTCAATTACTAGTCGTCGATAGATTGTCAACAATAAGTCTTGTACTGGTTTATGTATTGTTTTAAGATCGTTGTTGGAACAACCTTATGTTTGCCTTGTGTCTTCTTTTTGATGGCCTTGTCTTATAGCCCAAACAGATACCCATCTTGTGTTTGGTTAAAATGAAATAAAAAAGTTTAAAATATTCAAGGAAAAACAGAAAGTGAAGTGGCAACATTACATCTTTTGCGAGCTGTGTGTGAATAATAACTTTGACAGTCTCAGTATTATTACAGAACATCGAGATAGAACGAAGTAGAGAAATATTTTTTTATATGATAGATGGACGCACTTCGAGAGATAAAAAAGTAATCAAAATGGCGACTTAAAGTCGTACGTTGATTTTTTAAAGTCAATAATTTTATATTTAAATATTGACGAAATGAAAATGTTTTTATATCATTTAAATGAAGCTATTTATTCTCGTCAAGCTCTATTAGCTCGAGTTTGATACATGACGTTAAAGTGTAATGCAAAGGTGCGGACCACTGTTGTCAGACCTACTGTTTTAACAGTAGAACTACTGTTTTTTGTCTCTGTTCTACTGTTTTAGGCATAAAATCTACTGTTTTCGCGAACTTGGCAAATGTTGTTCTTGTTTTATTGAATTTGTCTTATTCTTTAGCAAATGTACAAAGAATAGATTCTTTAGTAAATTTGCCCTACACAAAAAAATATTTAAGATAATCATCATGTTTTGATTAAAAATGCACCAAAAAATTAATAGGGCGTCATAATAAGAAAATGCATGACGAACACAACGTATTTGAAAGAAATACCTATTATTTTTCCTATTTTTTGTTCCCCGACATTAAGTTTTACATATTTTATTGTTTTTATTTCTAATTTGTGTATAAAAGCAAAAAATATTTATTTTTCCTTTCTAATGGAGTTTTTTTATTTATTAAACTGCAAATTATAATTATTTCCCCCTGTATTAAAATCTACTGTTTAGTTTCGATGACCTACTGTTTTTTTTCCTACCCATCTATTGTTCCAGCATATTTTCATCTGGCAACGCTGGTGCGGACACTTTAAATATTGTCTTTATTCTATCTAATTGCTATACAGAGTGTGCTATGATTGATTATCCTAGTCGCCCTTGATTTAAAAACAAACTGAACGGCATATACGTAAAAGATTTGTTTTGTAGCTTTTATGGCATAGCTTCACAATATTGATAAAATACCAATATTGTGAGGAGAAAGTAAATATCGGTATACTCATCTTAAATTATAAAATGAACAGACAGGAAATATGTGGAGGTATGTATGAAACATAGAAAGTGATAAAGATATGAAAAGAATGATGTGTGCCTTTTATATTAATAGAGAACTATACAATAACACAATTGACTTAGTGTGCAGATAACATGGTTAATTAGTAAATATTTATTATAAATATTTTTAAATTAATAACAATATGTAAGTTGAAACTTGGCCAAGTACCTTCATGCTTTATGGGTAACTTTTTATATTTTAAATTACATAACTATCCTACTTTTAATTATTATAAGCACAATTTATGAATTAGTTTTTCGTTTAAAATGCTCATTATTGTTAATGAGCCAATTAGACTACGCAGTACATCATATAATATAAAACGTCACGGTATGAACTTTTTTTGCTGGTTATCAAACTCGCATATATTATATTTTCAAATGGTATTATTTTTTTAGACTTTTCAGAATAACTACAATTAGAAAATTAGGTGAAGATGTCAAATTTTACAAAAAATATTTTTTGAAAGCTATACAAATGTAAACTTGATATGAAAAATTTAGTGGGTGATTTTACTCACCATCAAACTGATAATTTGTGTCTCTACTTTTACTGCACCCCTCTTTTATTTATACTATACCAATATGTAAATTACAGTTTGACTTTTTATAACAAATCAAGGTATTAAAGCATTAAGGTGTCTGATCAAATGAAAAATACTCGTTTAGTGGTAAGAAACGAGAAGGAAATATCACAATGTACAACGTTGGTAAGTGAAAAATAAATAAGGACAGAACAGGAATGAAGTAAAACAGAAAAAGCTGGAAACATTAATTTATTTGGTTTCTAGTAAATAATACTTTTATATTATTATCAATAACAGATATTTAAATATACTATTTCTTATGATTATCAAATCAATAAAATACCCACTTTATTTAGTGGAAGTAATACATTGAATATTAATTATTATATTAGTAACGCGTATTAATAAAAATGTGACTATATTATTCTTATGACAACTTCAATCTCATCGTTCAATTCGGCACAGTTCATCATTACTAAACTTTAGTTAGCTTGAAGCCTGACGATTGATAAAAGTAGGTATTATCGAACGCAAGAGAGGTGATAGGTATGTAGACGCTGTAAATCTTATGGCTCGTATAATTTTTTCCTAACTTGTTTAAATCCTTTTTTATTTTACCTTTTTTACCTTCCCGAAGTTAGTTAGTTGGTACAAACTTTTAGTGTCAATGTTCGTATTACTGTTAAACGCCTGTATTATTTTAGAAATAAAAATTCTATTTGGTCAAAAGAAAGTGTTTGAATGAAAATTTCTATATAGCCACATTGTGTGTATTTGTTAAGAAAATTAGTCTATTATTGCTATATTTTTTTATAAACATTATGAAACTCTGGTTCCCGTCCGTAAGGTGGCTGGATACCCGACGAGTCACCAAGTGCCTCTGCGGACGAGGCCAAATGGGAGAAGAAGCACGGTTCTTGGCGCAAAAACAAGACAATTGACACATAGGGTTATGTGATGTGACACTTTTGATTATTATTATACAGGGTGATTCAAAATTGAGTACAAAGATTTTAAGGGCGTATGTACCAGCCTAAAATAAGAAATTTTTTCATATAATCATATGTACTAACTCGCTTCGTTTTCTAGATACAGGGTGTCAAAGTTTTTAAAAAAAATTGGATTTTTATTAATTACTCAAAAACCTTTCAGTCGATTTAAATAAAATTTGGTAGGCTTATTTGTCGTCATAAGGGCCTTCCTTTGGTGAGTATAAAATAAATTTATTAATTCCAGTGGCGTCTCAGGGGGCTACCTACTTGATACTTATAGGTAAAATTGTAGTACGGCACTGCTTTTTTGACAGTTAAAATTTTTTTTTAGATTAAGCGTACAATAATGTAACTTTTTGCCTCTTGAGCTTTACTCGTATCTAGCTTTGTTTTCAAGAAAAAAAAAATCAAAATCTGTGCCTTGTCCTATTAAAACAAGTAAAAAACTACTAAATGATGGAGATTGTCGCCAAATAGATCTGTCTAAATTTTTATTTGTGTTATGAAATTTCATTCATTATTTATTCCAGTGGCGTCTCAAAGTGTGATTTTATTTAATTAATAATTGTTAAAAAACCGATTTTTTTTTAAAAAACTTTGACACCCTGTATCTAGAAAACGAAGCGAGTTAGGACATATGATTATATACATTTTTTTTTCTTAGTTTTGGTTGGTAAATACGCCCTTAAAATCTTTGAACTCAATTTTGAATCACCCTGTATATTTGATTTTCCTGTTCACATTTATTAAAATTAAAATCTTTCTTTAGAAAGAATCCCAAATTTTCTTGTAACCAACCCTACTACAATTAGCCAAATTAACAAGAAAGAAGATGGTCAATTTTTCATATTCAATTTTTTCCAATAATTAATTCTAAAACGAGTATAATTTTATTTATTTATTTAGAAAAAATGCTTTAATCTCTATTAAATATTTTATTAAAATATTTATAAACCACAGATATAATTATCCTAGTCAGCCATTTTGCCTACACGAAATGATAAATTTACCAAAAATACGTCACTGCAAATTGATTTGACGTCAATTTAGGAAGATACATTCGATGCCGACTTTAATAAGTTTTTTGACAAGAATGACAGATAAGCTCCATCATTTAAAACGATGTTTTACATTAATATAATAATAATAATAAATGCTTTAATTGACATTATACATACATAGATGACGTATGTCAATTGGCAAGGTTCACTGTTCCTTAAAGGTAGATGAACTGCCTTTAAGTAACTCTGCTCTTCCCCACAACCATGTACATTTAATTTTTGTACAAGATTATCTATTTAAGTAACTAATACTACTAATGTCATGTAGCTGCATAATATATTAGATAAGGGGGTGCAAATGTATTTCAAGAATCAGTAGCTCATTCTTATGTCTCAAGCAAGATACAATAGACTCAAAAGAAACCCCATTGGTTTTTGTTAATGATACAATTAATAAAATTGTAGAAATAAGTTTTAAAAAAACAACAAAATATTTAATCCAAAGAAAGAGTGGAATCAAAAATATCGTTTTAAGGGTATGATCCGATATTATCCAAAATATTAGTTACTCTATCTAAAACTAACCACTCTGCTTGACATTCTTGAAAAACCTGTTAACTTAGGGCATGGTCCGTTATTAACCGCTAGTAACTACTAATCGCTAGTAACCAGGATTTTTTGACAGCGGTTCCTGAAAAAAACTAATTTCTTGGTTACTTTTGGACCACGGTTGAGATTTACGTCATTTTTGTGACATATACATTCGACTTATTAGTAACCGTAATTGACGTTTAAATCACCATTTTCAGGTAACCACGTCCCTAATTTAACCGATTTTTCAGGAATGTCAAGCAGAGCGGTTAGTTTTGGATCGAGTAACCGATATTTCGGTTAATAACAGACCATACCCTTAGTGACGCGGTTACCTAAAATGGTGACTCAAACGTCAATTCACTAACCAGTATATTTTCACGGTTACCATCAAGTCGAATGTCAATCTGTCACAAAAGTGACGCAACTTTCGCCGTGGTCTAAATGTAACCAACAAATTAGTGTTTTCAGGAATCACTGTCAAAAAATTCTAGTTAGTACTCCGTTGATATCGGACCACACCCTAAGGCTGAGTTCGGTTTGGCGTTCGCTGTACTCAGATTGCACTCAGTATGCCTCAATTATGGTCGTTTTAGTACTCAGAGCGTACTCTTTTATGTTCGATTTGCCACAGATCACGTACTCAGAGCGCGCTCACTCCTCCCCGAGTTGGCCGGTAGAGATCAACGGGTATCTGTAGGAATGTGTCAAAAATGTCAAACGTCAATATTCTGATCTATGATTAATCAGTTTTACACGGATTATTTCTTGTTTGTTTTTGTGATAAATATTTCCTATTTGACTAAAATTAATTTTTTACAGTCCATTCACACACAAAAGTGTATTCAAGTGCAAACTATCACTAGTGTCATTTGTCATTCCCCTTGTTCGTCTTGAAATTGTAGAAAAAGCGAACTCTGTCTATGACGTCACGCACTCCGTGCGCGCTCTGTCCGATCCGTCGAGTTCCGAACCGAACTTACCCTAAATGAGCTTATCTGTCATTCTTGTCAGAAAAACGTATTAAAAGGTTTGTTTCAGTAATACTCAGAAACAGTCAATTAGAGTCTAAATTCAGCAGAGCACATTTTTAATTGATCTCACGAATTTTGAAAACTTCTAATAGTATATTACAGTACTGTTTCAAGAAACTTACATGCAATAGAAAATAAAGAATGTATTTAAAGTTGATTTTACTGAAATTTGATTTTGTCTGCCAGTGAACCTTAAAGATACTGTTTCTAAATAATTATTTTTAATTTGTACTGTTTATTATTAACATTCAAAATAATGTTGAATGCAGTTAACAAATTTTGGCAGTATATGGACGTGTCCTGTCTAGTGATATAACAGATCTGTAGGTCCAACCGAAATAGATTGGCATTTAGTTATCAGAAACTAACGGCAATTCACAATGACGTCACAAATATGCGCATAGACATAACAGAGTGTATCCATGGTATAAAAAATAAAAGGTAGGATATCAACAGTGTCAAAAATAGGACGGCCACGCGCATGGCGTCACGCGTAGAGTTTGTATAGGCGCGAATTTAAAAATACTAACGAAGTGTGAGGAAAATATATGCTAACTTATAGAAATTTGATGAATATTAAAGATAATATTTTAGAAATTACATGAAATATCTATGGATATTATTATGGGATAGTTAAGGAAAGAACTATGAAGGAACTTAAATGCAAATACATACATAAAAGAAATATTTTTTTAAACAGTTTTTTCTTTTTTTTTTTAATGATTTATTTTGTTTATACAAATTCGACTTCTAAAGAATAGTTTTTATAACCAGGATAATAAAATAAGGGGTATCTTCGCAACTCGAAACTGGGGATTCTGGTAACAATTTCACATCTGGATATGCTGGAAATTTTTACCTGATTAGGATTTGCAACTCATTTACCTGCATTATTTTACCCAATTGAATAAAAATAAGTTAATTTTTTTTTATATAATGCAGACATTCATATAATATAATGCAAAACATAAAAAATGTACCAATACAAATAACTGTTACAATACAAAATTAAAATAATATGTCGCTGCATTTTTCCTGGACCTAGTGGCTGACAGTTTTTTAAATCATTTATCAAGTACAAGTCGAATTTTTTTTTTTTTTTTGGTAACATTTACAATTTTATTTTTGCTTATATTGCGAAATTTTTAGCCTTCAAAGGGTAGAGTCTTCAGTTTAAAAGTCCCAAGTTGTGGATTAACCATTGTGATTCACACTGGTTCATTATGTGAAGTTCTGATTTAAGATCTCTTTTATAATTGGAAGGTTGAAAGTGCTTGGAATACATATGAAAATTTATCTGCAGGGTCACAAGCCACTGCAAGGGCTGCTCCATGCCGAATTTTCTTGGGAAGGATGGTAGAATTGCCTATTTAGCATATTTTTTTTTTTAATAAAATGCTCATGGATTTTAAGAATTTTAATCTAGGGAACGGCATGCTCCCCTGGGCCTCCGCTGGAGCCGCCCTTGGGCTACTTCTAACTAAGCTCTTACTGTCGAGGAAAGCGAGAAACCGTAATATCTTTCTTGAATCCTTTCCTTTAATTGTTACTGTTACATCCGTACTGCAATTTTTCAATGTTTTTTATTAAAACCACTCACAGAGAATAAAGTTTACAACACAATATAATACAAATATCTGCTTAGTATCTTATAAACGACTCACAAACTACTGCAACATGCGTCTGTCATATGATATTTATTTCACGCCAGCTCTACTAACTCTACGCATGACGTCAGCGCCGCCATGACACCATGCGCGATATCCCCCCCTGGAGTGTATCGTGCAACAGCTAACATACATATATTGGATATACACAAAAAACAGCTGGATATCTTGGGAATACAATTATATTACAAATAATACACAAACTCTATTTAAAATGTTTTCAACATTTTTTTTGGCACTATGAGTTATGTTTTACTAGTTTTTTTTACCTATAACACAGAGCATGCAGGCATCACAGATAGGACCAGAATAAAAAGAACAATCCAAAGATAGCTTATTTTTTTTAATACCTAATGATATATTAGTAAGTAATTAGAAAGTAATGGAACATCCTACACCTTGTTAGATTCGTTTGCAACCATTTGTTGAACCGCAAGTAAGTATCAAAGGCCGGTGCATGCAAAAATTATGAATAGACATTTGCAAGGCGGAATATAATTCGACTGTATTGCATATAATTAAAAAGTTTAAGGATATGGTCCGATATTAACCGAAAATATCGGTTACTCATTCCAAAATAACCACTCTGCTTGACATTCCTGAAAAAAAGGGTTAAATTAGGGACGCGGTTAGCAAAAAATGGTGACTAAAACGTCAATTTACTAAACGCTATTTACCATTAAGGCTGCGGAGGCAAGACTAGGTGCTTACAGATTAGGGAATACACTGGGAAATCTTGACATTAGGCCAGGTCACATGAGTATCTCAAGGTTAGTGACAGGAGACGTGCTAGACATGAGATCAGACCACATAACCAAGAGGTATTCTTTTAATACTACATTTGAGGTTTTAATACAGAAAAAAGCAGAGATCATAAGGGAGCCCAATGCATAACGACAGGAACAAACCTGGTATACAGACGGGTCAAAGATTGCGGAAGACACTGGGGGGGGGGGGAGTATTCTCCAAAAACCCTGATACTAACAATAGCTATGCTATAGGAATACATTCCTCGGTATTTCAGGTTGAGGTGTACGCAATTTTACAATGTGCAAAAACGAACAATGAAAGAGCTCTCGAAAATCGGCATATTCAAATAATGTCAGACAACCAAGCGGCACTTAAGGCCATATCAAGTAAGAAAGTTACGTCAAGGCTGGTATGGGAATGCATCGAAAAACTAAAAACACTGGCAGACCGAAATACAGTAAAACTATTTTGGGTGCCAGGTCACCAAGGGATCGAAGGCAACGAAAAGGCTGACGAACTTGTAAAAAGAGGGTCAGAAGAAACACCGGAACTAGACACAAACCCGAGAGTACCAAAAAGTACAGTCCAGGGTTTCATAAACGACTGGATTCGGGAACAACATATTAACTATTGGGGAAGCAGTCCAAAACAGGCACATGTTCTACCTTCATAGGCAGACCATGTCCCAAAAGAACTGGAGAATTACTCTTTATGAATAGGAACCAGTTGAAAGTGATAATAGGGTTCATGACTGGGAAGGTCCCAGTAAAGGGACCCTTGAACAAAATAGGCATGTAAAATGGGAACTTATGTGCCGACTATGTCACAAGAAACCAGAAACGGCGAATGCGAAGCTCTAGATCGCAAAAGACAGATTCTTTTTGGACAACCCCAGGATGATCCAACAACGTATAGAACCCACTCATCCAAGGATCTGTACAAACTTGTACAAGGTATAAAGGTGACAGAGTGGGTGTTATGAACTAACATGGGGTAAAACACAATAAGCCAATAGGCTTCAGGATTATTCGGAGACATAGTCAGACGAGCCCAGGGAAAAAAAGGCTGCGCTATCACGATGAGATATCATTTAATAGTTTTGTGTTTCGTTTGCCTCCGATCAGCTGGTTTAACTGGATAATATATGAATAGCAGACCATTTTTTTTATTTTAAAAGAAGAAAGTTACTAAAGTTTCGGGTAACACCTCGCGGCAATTGTACTGAACTAAAATCTAGTGACAAAATGGCTATTTTTCAATATATACAAGAACTTTTAACTTCCGTGCAGGTCTATGAGTTTATTATGTGTTTATTTACAATGATAGAGCGTAGTATACAAAAAGTTTTGGAGAATCCATTGATATACAAGAATTTTTATATTATTTCTTCAATTTTGAATTACATTTAAATATATTACCGGATCTGCATGCCTGTAAGTATGTGTGAATAAAATTTTTATATAACTTGTTACGCAAATCTTTTTAGCAATATAAATGGTATCATCATAAAGTTAATACCATACAGAATCATAAAATATTTTGAAAACTTGAATAAAGTACACATTTTTTAAATTAACTTGCACGAAATGAAAGTGTTTTTTTACATGTCATTTTGCCGCCATTTGTCGGGAAACACAGCCTTAACTCGAATGTCAATCTGTCACAAAAGTGACATAAATCTCGGATGTAACCAACAAAGTAGTTTTTCTCAGGAACCACTGTCCAAATATCCTGGTTAGTTGTGGTTAGTAGTCGGTTAATATTGGACCATATCCTAAATAACCAACGACGTTCAAAATCTGGACTCATTCAAAACTAAAATAAATATTGTCTAGAATGTACAAATCTGGTTGGAATATTTTTCTTGTCTCTCCTTTGACAGATTGTAAATTTAGAGATAAGTATGCTTTATAAATCTAACTCACATTGTACGTCATCAAATTAATGAATAACTATTTTAAATTACGCAAATATAAATTATTGTATACATTTTAAATTGTTGAATACATTTGGTATCATAAGTACTTTCATCACTATCGATATCAGTGTTGTCAACCGGAGGAAAATTTCTGTTTCGCGGGAATTTTTAACAGAAAAGTGTGGTTTTGGAGCGGTTTTTATGCTCTTAAATAAAGATTGTAAATAGTGTAAATAAAATAATTGTAAATGGTTTTCTTAATGTTTGATTTCCAAACATCAATTGATCCGGCTCGAAGGACCAATTAATGTTTGGAGATTGATTTAATATTTATATCAGAAAAAGGAGAAAATTGTTATATCTTGCTGAATAATCTCATTATGTTCGTTTTTTATAAATATATTTACAAAAAAATCATTACTTATGTTTTAGAATAAAAATAAAATAGTTTTTTTGGTCACCTGAAAAATTTTTAAATTGTTACTTATAAGGTTCTGCGTTTTGATCCTTATTATATCAAATTCAAAATATTTTGTCATAAATTTAATAAAATTATTGACTGTTCAATCTATTTACCAACTAAAGGGTATTATAGACGTTTGACATCTGACAGAAACGTCAATGAAAATTCTCACTGAATGTATATTGTCAATTTTGTGCGTTTTTGTCTTTTGTAATGTACCTATGTCTATTTAAAAATATTTATCATAAAAAATATACACGTTTCTAACTATTTATCTGGTAAGTTGACCGTTTTAATAAGTTTTTGTGCATATTTATTCCAATAAGGCGAAAAACCTTTTTTGACCATTCCAATATTAGGATTTTTTTATTTCAACAAATGTATTTATTTTAGATTTAGGGCAAATTCTATCTGATGGCCAAAATTTATTTACTTTTTCAATAGTTATTGCCAAAATATTAATTAATTTATAAATCAGAGACTGAGAGAAATAATTTTATTTAGTTTTACACTTTATTTAAATACAATTCAAATATCAAAATAAATACTAAATTCGTAAATATATATATTTTTTAAATAAATCACGCATTCGTCCGTATTAATCAAACAGTCAAATATTCCATTACTTTCCCTAGCTACGTATAGAAAAAACACCAACTTTTTTTTTAACAACCTAACTATATAAAAAAAAGGAAAATTTTATATTAAGAGATACCGCAATAACACCCTATCGTAAATCCTAAAAATATATTTTAAACTAATAATGAGAGGTTAAATTCTTAAACAATCCTTTTTGTTTAACTTTTAAATAATATACAGAGCTATATTGTAGATGAGAACAATTGGTTTGGTTACTTAATGTAGTGAAAAAAATAAAATTACACATAAGCAACAAACTTTATTTTTGCCAATCGTCAGCCATTTTTTCTGACAGGAATAGAAAATAATTTATTTTTAATGAATAACAACGTAATTACGTTTGGTTTCGTAAGGTTCTTCGTCTGTAGTGATTAGAATTTTAAGAAATTTTAGTTAATTATATACGTATATTAGATTACCACTACTGTTTACTAGTAAATTATTGATTCTTATTTATAATTTTTGTATCTTCTGGTTATTACATCAAATATTAGATTTTTGGCGCCCAACGTGGGGCACTTTAAAATAACAGTTTGGTCATTATAGTAACTTAGTTGGCGCCCGTTCAATTTATTTACTATTTTCAGAATCTTTTGTAAGCTATTCGCCCATTAGCGACGTCGAAAGCCCTAAAATTGACAACCAAAACTTATGTGTTCTTTTTTAAAAGTTCAGTTTTAGACAGTTTCCCTCACTGGATGTTGCATAATCAAAAGGAACTTTTCCAGAGTAAAATACTTCATAAACACAGCCATAAGTAAGAGAAAACTATGTTGACACGTCGACACTTTGTAACAAAGAAAAGGTCACTAACTCGATAACGTTGGGGGATGTTCAAAATACACTTTAAAATATATTTTATAAGAATTTTCGATGGGGTGTTATTATACTCCTAAAACTGATATGTGAAAACTCTTCTAAGAGAAAAGATTAATTAATTAAAATAATCATAATTGTCATACTTGAATTTGGGCTTGCTTGTCGCCTCTTAAAAAAATACTTTTAGTGGGATAGAGATCCCTATCTGGAACAACTGAGTCATAATCTAATACCACAGTCAGCGATCAACTATCTAAATTCGTTTGTTTACTTACGAAATCCATCTGGCTCAAGATTGTTTTACCGAAAAAATTAATCTGCAATTTTAATGGAACCACTTCCGAATTTGGATATAGTTTAAATAATGTAAATATGCATGGAATATGCTGTATGAAAACAGTTTTAAGTTACAATCAAATTTAAAATTAATTATAATCCAAATAACTAGTAATGTGTGGCTACATTAAAAATATAAAACGATATTGTTAAAAAAAAAAAACACGGTTTCGAAAAAGAATCCATCGCCAGATCATTTTTTTCAGTACTGATTGTAGTATAACAAAAATCACAATAAGGTGCTAAAATAAAACGAGTGTACTTAGTAATGTTTACTTTTAGCGCGTGATTTTTGTAATCTAGTAGTTACTTTGTTATTCGTACCATTTTTTTCTACTGTAGATGAATTAGATGGAACGTGTGCTCTTATCGGACCTCCTGGGTACGGTATCCTGAAGAGCTCTAAATGAAGGTAATCGCAGATCTCGTGGCAAATTTGGGAGCAATACCTTAGAAGATCGATTGTTACCCATATCTGAAATTGAGAGATGTTTCAACAAAATATTGTAACTTAGCCGCTTACTAAATGGAAAGATGCGGCTCATTCCGATTATTTAAACAATTAAATTATATGGACGTCAAGAATTGGCACTGAGGTACGTGCGACTCAGGTCCAATAAAAATTAATGATGCTGCGCCAGAAACAAATGATGGAAACTTTTGTGCTATCTTACGGATGAGAAGCAGATGTGGAGACTCAAATCTAAAAAAACCACATAGAAAATATGATGTGGAACGCTACCTACCCAAGCCCGACCATACAAAACAAACTTTTTGCAATTTGTGGTGAAATAATCCAGAAAAAGATTGTGCCAGGATTAAATTCTGCGAAATTTTTTTCAATCCTTGTCGACGAAACTACTGATGTTTCACTACAAGAACAGATGTCCATTTGTCTAAGATATGCCGAGCCAAAAGATAATGAGTTTTTCTTGCGTGAAGATTTTTTAACTTTTGTAACAGTTGAGAATACAAAAGATATTCAGCTAATGCAATTTTATCTGAATTAAAATCTTTGGGAGTAGATTGCGAATATTTAGTCGGACAAGGATATGATGGAGATTCTTCGATGAAAGAAAGTTTTAAAGGTGTGCAGACAGTAATTCGTGAGTCACATCCAGAAGCCGTATATGTTCATTGCATTTAGCTCTGGGTCATTCTAGCCAGGTTCAGCCTATTCGAAATACTATTGGAATTATAAAATCGGTTGGAAATTTTATCAAGTCCTCAGCAAAACGAACCACGTGTTTAAAAGATAATATCGAAAAAAACATCCCTGAAACACAATGGATAAACCTTACGACAATGTGCGAGACCCGCTGGGTAGAAAATCATGATTGGGACAAGAAACGAAAAAACCACTAAGACTCTGGCAACCGATAGCAGTTGGTATCCCTTTCGAGAGAGTAGGAATCGACATACTAGGGCCCTTTCGAAAAAGTCGAAATGGAAAAACGGTGATAATAGTCGCTACTGACTATGCCACCAGATGGGCTGAAACAATGGCTCTAACAATTGCAAAAGCGAACCAAGTAGCCAAATTTATATTAAATTCCATTACCTGCAGACATGGTAGCCCACGGTTTTTGCTAAGTGACCAAGGGTCAAACTGCAAATCAGAGATTATCACTGAACTCACTAAAATAATGGGAACAACAAGCCAGTTTACCACTGCCTATCATCCAGCAACAAATGGATTGACAGAAAGATTCTACAAGACCCTGGCAAATATGTTGGCAAAGTATACTAACTCAGAACACACAGACTGGGACGAATACCTGAGTTTAGTAACATTTACATACAACACAGCGAAACAGGACACTACCAAATTCTCCCCTTTTATGCTGGTTTATGGGAGAGAACCAATCTTGCCAACAGAGGCAAACTTAATGGCTCAAACGAACAATCCGGACGTAGTACAGATTAGAGACAGAGCTGTGGCAGTCAGAAACCTAGCTGTACAGGGCATAAAGAACAAACAGGCCAAGGACAAAGAAAGATATGATTCCATGCACAAGACAATAGAATTTAAAAAAGGAGACAAAATAAAGGTATTCACCCTAATTCGCCCCAATATTTACCAAATAAATAAATAAATAAATAAATTAAATAAAAATAAATAAAAAATAAATAAATAAAGATTTAAAGAAATTTATAAAGCTATTTTTGATACACTAGACGACTTAAGCACTTATACTCTTATAATAAATATATATGATAAGTAACACCATTTTATTTCTTTTATTAAAACGATTTTTTGTTTTTCTACTGTTCCACCAAATCAAACACCCGCGAAATTATTTTGCTACCTGGTAAAAGTACAATGATAAAAAAAAAGTCTATGAAGGTATCAACGATTTTCCAACCTTAAAGTTTCGGATGCAGTAGAAATTTGGAACCAAGTTATAAACTAAGTAACAGAAGGGTCAAGAATGTTTTAAAGTAAAAAATAAAAATAATGGAAACTTACCATACATAACCACAATACGTAGTGTTCATTAATATAAGTATTGAAATATTGGTTTAAAAATAACATCGACGGTCCCAGAAGTGACCAATCTGTATAGTCCATTTCGCTTTTAGTCATATGGGCCACCTAAAACAATATTTTTAATTATAACAATTATAATATTAATGATGTGTATTAATTTAATTGGCTAGATTATAATGCCTAAAATTAAGAGAGAGTTACTTACTACTAGTCTATTAGTGACCTTGGCAGCGACCAAACCGAACGCCAGAATATACAGGGCAGGATGGTTTTGATAGATTTCTTGCGTCGATTTTTTATAAATAATGAATGCCGGAACCAAAACCATTGAAAATGGTATGATTGGCGATAATACGCTGGTACCCTAATTGGAAAAATTCAAATAATAGAAAAACTTTATCGTAAACCATGTTATTTTTGTCTATATCTTATTAACTTTACCACAAAAAAATATACATTTTATACAATATTTTTATATTATAAAGTATGTCCCTGGATAGGTGAAACGACTCTTGAAAAACGTACAAAATTCTCGATTTTAATTTTCATTAATTGGGTTTCAGCCCTGCTTGGTTAAAAACCAATTTTCAACATAATTTCTTTTTTGAGAAATCTGTTTTTCGCCAAAGTAAAGTACCTTATATGTTGCAGATATGACCAAAAGTTGTTTAGAATCAACATCTATGTTCATATACCATATTTGAAAAATCTTCAGCCAACACTGATTTTTCATTTATTTTGTAAATATGACAAATCAAAGTTGGCCAACGATTTTGAAATTTGGCATACAGGCATATTTTTTGATTTCAAGCAACTTTTTGACGTATACATTGTTGAAAAGCTACTATCATGACAAAATAAATAAAAAAGTCAATTTTCAAATTTGGAATATGGACCTAGATGGTAATTCTAAACGGGCAAGGTCAAGTTGTTTCCCGTCTTGAGCAGGTAGTTTTTTTATGTGTCGAATTGCCTCCTATCATATTTCGAGTTGTCTCCCAAGCTAATGTACATTAAAAGGTATTAATTTTCACAAATTACACCGTTGTTGCCAAATCAAAATTTTTATTTTTAAAAGTACGTTGAACTATTGTTACTTTTTTCTTTTTGTAAAATGAATTTTTAACCTTTTCCAAGAATCGTTTCATCTATCCGGAGACACACAGTATAAAAGAACTAGAGCATAAATATGAAAATTAAAAAATATCATCTACTTTTATTAGTAGAATACAATGTTAAAAATATTTAAAGTTATATAAATATTTTATTTTGTTAAAATGTTCTATGAGTTGAAGAAACTAAATAAATAATTCAAGAAATTAGCAAAGAAGGAAATAATTATAACTCAAATATTCCTTTGGCTAATATCGCAACAGGCACTGAATTATAACCGAAGTAGAACAACAGAGATAGAAAATTATTTTCAACATTCTAATTTATATTTTACTTACTAAGGAGAACTTCATTATTTGACCTGTTTCGTCATTATTAGGATTCATCAGCAAGTGTAGACACTTTCGATTCCAAGCTTTAATGGAATCAGTAGATGGGTTAAATTTTTTCGATTTGGAATCATTTCCTTTTTTTAAATTGTTCGCCTAGAATTTATCCTACCTTTATACTATGAGCAAGCTTTAATTTTGCTTACTAAGATGGCTTTACTTTATGACTTCTTATAGTCACACAACTTCCATCAATGTGTAAGAGTAAATTTCACACATTTACAGATTCCAATAGAGATTTGAATCGAGAATGTCTATTTCTTACTGATGAGTCCTAACGAATAAGCAACCGGTCCAAGAAATCTAAAATGTTTATATATACTACATTATTACAATATACTACATTTTTTATTGTTAAATCTGCAGGCTACGGGGGTTTTGATAGTCATAGCCATAAAACATTTTTTTAAATATGATTACGATGACAAAGAGTGGGTAATTTATAATGAATAACCCTGTATATTGCAATAGCTAACCGTGTTGATTGATTTAATAAATAGAATTTACTTATGTTTCTAATTCTGTAATAATTGGTAAAGTTAACAAGATATATCCACTATATAATGCAATATTTAGTAAACAGTGACTAATCATACAACTAAATCCTCACCAACGTTTAAGTAATATTAGTAAATTAAAAAAAGTATTATGTAACTGCTAAAAAAATATGTAAAGCTTGAACATAAATTTTAAATCGATTTTTTTTACCATCACCGTTTTTGAAACCATTACATGAGACTTTAAATTATAATTGGTCAGGATTTAGAGTAAATTATACTAAACTAGAACTAATGTTATCAAATCCCATGCACACAATTAGCAAAGCAAATAAGCAGCAACTACCATGCAAATATAAGAAAAAACTAATTGGGTATGTAGTGAGATTCTAGACAAAAATATTTTTCCTTTTACGAATTTATTTTCACACGAAGTTACTCATAATATTATTGAAAATGAGATAATAAATACTTGGTCTACTATCAATAGTTTTGATAAAAAAAATAAATAAAATATTTCAACTAATGGTTATAGTTTTTAAAATACAAATTTCTGTTAACAAAACCTATTAAATAATAAGTTTTTTAAATGTCATTAAAATGTTCTTCAATAATTTATGCAATTTAAATTATTGCAAATATGTTTTTTTGCACAAAATTTTAAAAACAAAAACCATTTGTGAAATCTAGAAAAGTGATATTGGACCTTATCTCATTTTCCATAATATAAGAACTACTTCCAGTAAAGCGTTGCAACTATATTTTAGAATCACCCTGTAGAAACAGTTTTTCCAAATGAACCAAAAGTGATGTTCGAAAATATGGATTTAATGAGAATTTGTTTATTTTTGACAATTGACAGCTCCGTCAATTGTCATCGATGCGTTTAAATTATGTTAAGCCGCAGGAAATGCTTGATCTTCCATATTAGAGATATTGCACCATTAGCACCGCTCTTATTTTGACATCTGAGCATGCGCAAATCGTTTACGTTTTAGAACTGATTTTATTATAGATTGCGCCTTAATTGTGGATGTTTAAGGGTAGAAGATTGTGGCGACTTTATAGCTTTTGGGTACGCTCGCCGATAATCGTATCAGTTCGAACTTTTTTAATGTCATCGTCAGCTAAACCTTCTAAAATGGTAATTTCTAATCCTCTTCCATATTATAGACAACAAAAAAGATGAATTGTAATTTAAAATTTTTAAAATGAGGTTAGAAATATGGATAAGGACAAGTACTCTAATATCAAAACTTCAAGTTTGTAATAAGTCTTATTTTACCATAAAATTTATTTGCCTCTAATTATGTTATCACTATTAGTGGTTGACGTTATAAAAATTTCTATAATGTCAGCCACTAATAGTGACAACATAATTAGTGGCAAATGCTAAAATAAGACTCTAATGTCAAACCTAGGTTTGACGTTAGAGTCTTTGTTTTTAGACATAAGTTTTAAACTCATTTAAAAAAATTTTAATCAAAATTCATCTTTTTGTTGTCTATTATAGTGGGCATTAGAAATTACAATTTTAGAAGGTTTAGATGAATATAACATTAAAAAACTTCGAACTGATACAAATGTCGGCGAGCGCACCCGAAAACAATAAAATCGCCACTATCCGCTGCCCTGGAACATCCACAATTAAGGACAGACACAATCTTTAGTCAATTCTAGCTCGTAAACGAACTATGCATGCTCAGATGTCAAAATAAAAGTGGCTCTAATAGTGACTGACTTTAAGTGAACTTCCAATATCTAATATGGAGAAGCAGTAAGGATAATGCACTGTACGTTTCTAATCGTTCAAAAAAATTTATCCGACAGATTGATAAGTGTCAAAACGCTTTGTTTGAAATTGCGCAAATATGAAATACGTCCAACTAAAGGGAGTTCCTGACTTGTAAATTTTGCTAAAGCTGGATGCTCTCGTGTTCAGTTTTCGTCTGCCACGCGCATGACGCCACTCACAGAGTAATAAGATGCGCAACATCCTATCTATAGATGGGTATATCGTGAGTTTTACTGAACATAATATGATCAGTGTGCTTTTTACTTTCAGTAAGAATAAAAACTAGTTTTAATTTTTCTTCATTTTGGTAGATTATTATCCAATAATGAATACGTGAGAATATATGTTCAGTTTTGCTAGCTTTAAATTTATCTTTATTCATTATTATATGATTTCTATATGATTCAAGACCTTCGAAAGCTAATTATTTCTGCGCAATATCTACGGACTGACTTACCAGTTTCTGATTGATCAAAATATTTTGTTGATTTTAATTTTGTTTTAATAAGTATTTTATGTCTACGATATCACTGACAGAATGGTCTGAATTATCGATGTATTCAGCGAAACAAGTAAACAATCACCGTTTATTCTTATTTTCATTTTGTAATGAACTATTAATACAAAATCGATTCTCTCAAGAGTAGATATATGAAATTTCCCACTCTACAAATGTTTTTTTAGTTGCGTATAAATGATAATCTGGAGGGCTAAACTAAAAGATAGTCTACCATTCAAATCTGTGACTTAAACATCCAGAATTATGCGTCTTTAGCATAATGAAATTCAAGCACGCGTTTCACGATGCACTCAAACTAGGCGGGTCTGTAGACATAAAATAAGTAGTTACGTCACCCTCACTGGGACCCTTGATATTCTATGAAATAAATTTTGCCAACAAACGCTGACGAATTCCCGAAAAATAAGCGTTGGACGTCTCTCTTATGAACCGTATGAAGAGTGACAGAGCCGACAATACTTTTCGAAACGTTCTGGTTTATAGACGGGGTGAGATAGTCTCGGTATCGACTTCTGCCCGAGTGATTTTACTAGTTTGTTTATGAATGATGGTACTGTGTTTTTATGTGACTCGGTGAGAGTACAGCACTTATTACGTCGCAGCGGCCAAATTTAGAGCCACATATCTCTACTATTAATCAACTCAAGGGTAAAAATGGGTGGATTTAATATACAGTGGTCGACCGTTTTCGAGAAAAATCAAATTTTAATGTTGAAATACATGGTCAATTTTTGGAAACAAAACCTTTTTCTTTTTTCTCGAAAACGGTCGACTTTAGAGCGTATGACCAAGAGTACCTTTTTTGTGTAGAAAACATTGGCGGTTCAAATGGGCGTCTCAAAACCGTACTTTTTCCAGTGGCGTAGACATTTTTTTTTCAATTTCAACACCCTGTATCTCGAAAATGGTGCATTTTAGTGGGTAATAGAAACGTTTTTTCATATTTTTGGACGAGCTATCACGTCCTGAAGTCCTGCGCATATATTATGAAACACCCTGTATAAAAAAATCTTATGTCTCTTAATGTTGTCGTCCCTTATCTAATTCTAC